ACCCTGGGGCGGGGTGGGGGTGGGGAGGAGAAGGCTCTCACCCCAGCAGGGGTGGGGGCGCCCGGCTAGGAGACTGACCCCATGTTTCCCGCTCCCCCCGACCCTGCCTCTAGGGACCAGGAATGTGATTGACGCCTGCATTGAGCACCGGGTCCAGTATCTCATCTACACCAGCAGCATGGAGGTTGTGGGGCCCAACACCAAGGGGGATCCCTTCTACAGGTACCGGGCTCCTAACCACTAGGCTCCCCTGCCCTGCCAGAGCTGGGGAGAGAACCCAGGCCTCCTAGGAGTTAACCTCCCTCATTCCTCACCCCTCCCTGCCTGCGGTCTCTGGCTGCCACCCAACCTCAGCTGTCGGCCGCCCCACCCAGGGGTTCCGGATTTGGTATGGTTTTCCTTCCTTGTGTGAGCATGGCCCCCTCCAGATTGTGTGTGTGGGGGGGGAGGTTTGATTCAGCGCTGGTTGGGGGTTCCTTCAATATCCCTCCATTGCTTGGGGCCGGCTGGGTGACAGGGAGAGGCTGGGAAGCTGACAATGAGATGGTGGGATCCTTGCAGAGGGAGAAGGGTTTCAGGGGAAGGAGTGTATGGTTTTCCTTCCTTGTGTGAGCATGGCCCCCTCCAGATTGTGTGTGTGGGGGGGGAGGTTTGATTCAGCGCTGGTTGGGGGTTCCTTCAATATCCCTCCATTGCTTGGGGCCGGCTGGGTGACAGGGAGAGGCTGGGAAGCTGACAATGAGATGGTGGGATCCTTGCAGAGGGAGAAGGGTTTCAGGGGAAGGAGTGGAGATTGCCCAAGCTCAGAGCAGAGCGATGGTGGGGGCGGTGGGATCACCACAGAAAGGGAGGGGCTTAGTGGAAGGCAGGGATTGCCAGAGTTCAGAGCAGAGGGATGGGGGAGAGGTGGGATTCTCAGCAGAGAGGGAGGCACTCTCAGCGCAGAGAGATGGTGGAGGCGGTGGGATCCTGGGCGCTCAGCGCAGAGAGATGGTGGAGGCGGTGGGATCCTGGGCGCTCAGCGCAGAGAGATGGTGGAGGCGGTGGGATCCTGGGCGCTCAGCGCAGAGAGATGGTGGAGGCGGTGGGATCCTGGGCGCTCAGCGCAGAGAGATGGTGGAGGCGGTGGGATCCTGGGCGCTCAGCGCAGAGAGATGGTGGAGGCGGTGGGATCCTGGGCGCTCAGCGCAGAGAGATGGTGGAGGCGGTGGGATCCTGGGCGCTCAGCGCAGAGAGATGGTGGAGGCGGTGGGATCCTGGGCGCTCAGCGCAGAGAGATGGTGGAGGGGCTGGGATCCTGGTGAGGAGATGGGAAGGGAAAAAGTGGCCCTGCCCCTTAGCGCCCACCTCTCACCCGTTGCAGGGGGAACGAGGACTCGGCCTATGACGCCCTGCACGAGCAGCCGTACCCCCTGAGCAAGGCGCGGGCTGAGCACATGGTGATCGAGGCCAATGGGACGCCTGTAAGTAGCTCCCAGCCCCGGGCCTGCCCCTGGGGTGGACAATGGGACATGGGCATTCGAGGGAGCTCTGCAGCCCCTTCCCCACAACCCCGCAGGAGGGAGGAAACGGGACCCAGGCGCCCGGGCCGGCATCACGCACAACACCCAGGTTCCAGGGCGCGAGGGGTTGGGACCCAGGCACCCGGGAGCTCACCCCCGTGTCTGCCCACAGCTGGGGGGCGGCCGGTGCCTGGTGACCTGCGCCCTGCGCCCCACGGGCAGCTATGGGGAGAAGCATCCGCTGATGAAGGAATTCTACG